GACTAGCAACTGACTCTAAAATGTGTCTGTGTCCTAGAAAATTTCAAAACATTTGGGAAGTGAGTAACTAGACACGACGTGATTAATGAAAGTTCAGTGGCATGGGGCTGAGGCCACTGTAGTCAGTATTACTTGCCTCGGAAGGAGACAGTAATGAGAGATGCGGTTCCCCGTGAACTATGATTAAACACCTGTCTGTTGGGAGACAGGTGAGTGGTCTAGGGTAGGGTTGTGCATGCGCCGTTTGGACAAAATGCAGCGACTTCTACCCGGGATCTGAATAAATTCAGTCCTGAACCTACGGGGATAGTCCAGAGTATTTTAGTGGCTAGGAGCAAATGTTCAATTCATAGCAGGCAATTGAGGTAGCAGACTCATCATTGATAATTGTTTTTCTTCTCACTTGAGCCTTCTGCTTCCTAATGCTCATAATGTTCACTCGCTCACTCGCTCACCTACGCACTTACGCTCGGCTTTGACCCTTGGGTAGGCTTAGTTGGGTTTACTAAGCCATAGGGACATGTTCTCTCATTACTTTCTTCATTTTCTCTCTGTACTCCCCCTCAACTGGAGCACTCGGTATGCTTTGTCATAGTTAGGCACCGGGGAGGATTACTTTGAACACTCCCCCTAGAATGTTGCATCCGTTGAGAGATTCCTTGCTTTGTCGGTGTAAGGCGCCAGGAGGAGAAAACTGTAACTCCCCCTCAGAATGTGCAAGGATTGATTGCTCACAGCTTGTCATACCCGCCATGTGTGTGGAGCAATCTGAACATGTACCACACATGATGGTTTCCCTGAGCTCACCATGTAGAATTTCAGCATATTGATGATCACATAATGTTGACGAGTCAGGGGAGGCTTCAGCAGTTGATTGTTGATTGTTGTAAGGTGACCGTTGACGCGAGGTTGATTGAATTATCTACGATTTTCAGACCTTTACATTGAAGTTTAGAAAAGTTTTGACCTCAGGGTTGACAATGAAAGAAATTGAACAGATTTGCCTAAGTTTTGACCTGGACATCGGTGATTTACAAAGTTTGTCGGAAAACTAACGTTTTGACCCTCAAAGACTGCGAGTGAGGGCGCGTGAGAATGGGTTCTGGGGCACAGCCCGAGAATTAATGTAGATTTTTTCGTTAGCTTTCTAACAAAAAAAAGTTTGCTCAAATCGGATCACCGAGTCAAAAGATATGGCCAAAACAGTGCGGTGTCGCAAAAAAATCTCTAATTTTGAGTTTTTGAGGAATTTCTTCGAAGATGAGGTGCTCGATGTTGAATGTCGAGAGAAGGTGGATTTTAAACAAAATTCTAGAGATTGCCTCGAAGAATAATGGCCAAATCCACCTTCAAAACAAACCTCAGAATATCGAAATCTGCAGAATTTCAAAATGTTTGAACATCGAAAACTTTGGAGTTTCGAAAACCTCATAATCTCGAAAACTTGCTGTTTGAAAAACATCAGAACATCGAAAACTCATGAAACATATATAAGCAGGGAATCATTTAGAGATCCTTATAATGTAAAGCTTCGATGAACTGCAAAGGATGTCAAGATTCGAATTATGAGTTCCAAGAAACTGCAAACTTTGAAAGATTCAAAACATCGAGAAATTTGGAAAATCTCGAAATCTTCAGAATGTCGAGATCCAAAACATCGAGATCCCAAATGTCGAAATCCCAAAACTCGAAATTCCAAAACACGAAATTCCAAATCTCGAGATTACAAATCTCGAGATCTTGATTTCGAGATTCAAATCTCGAGATCATGATTTCGAGATCCAAATCTCGAGATCTTGATTTCGAGATCCAAATCTCGAGATCATGATTTCGAGATTCAAATCTCGAGATCTTGATTTCGAGATTCAAATCTCGAGATCAAGATGTCGAGATGCAAATCTCGAGATCAAGATGTCGAGATGCAAATCTCGAGATCAAGATGTCGAGATGCAAATCTCGAGATCAAGATGTCGAGAAGAAGAAATCGAGTCCCTAAATGTCGAGATCCTGCAAAACGAAAACATTGATTTTTGAAAATCTGAAACCTGTTCTGAATAGCCCTGAAAGTCGAGATTCTCCTGTATCAGTTTCAAGCCAAAAACGTTTCTGCAGCAGTGAGAATTCAGGATTTCGAGATCTCAATGTAGAGATCTTCGAAATATAAAAATTGCAGAAAACGAAAAAAGAGGTATGCTGCTGGATCGGTTTTGAAAGGCGAATCCAACAGTATGATTTTTACAAAATTTCGTTCACAAACGAGATTACAGGAGCAAATCTCTACATGTAGAGAAACAGAAGAAAAAAAACAGAGTAGTTCTTCGTTAGATCCAAAAAATCGCAGACAGATCCAACCTGTTTCACGCCTCGGCTCTGATACCAAATGTTAGTCCCAAAATTCTAACAATCATACAACCATAGCAGTGATAAAGAAGCAGATAGAAAGAAATCGATAAGATTGAACGTGAATCTGGTATACCGTATGAACCTGCCGCTACTCTCCCTGGAGAAGGAGAGCAGCGGCAACCTAATTTCTCTCTATCTCTACGCCTCTGCGTCTCAGCCTCTCACGATTAGTAGGGTTCCCGTAAGTTAGCCTTCTTTTATAGGAGAAATTGGCTAACTTACGGGTTACAAGGAAGCCCACGGGCTGATACACATTTGTGGCCCGTATTACACGTTTAATTAATAACTACACAAATACAAAGATAACTAACTAGATTGAACACCATAAAATATTCCCAACAGAGATGGTCCCCTTTGTATCGATACAGCTTCCTGTTAAGCTTGCCAACGGTGTTTTCAGGGGCGTCAGTCGATCCCTCTCCAGTTTCATCCTTTGGAACGTCCGTAAGTACAGGACGTTTACAGTGCTACCCGTATCCACCAGCACTCGGGGGATGAGAGTGTTATCAATACACATGCTCACCACCAACTCGTCCCTGTGCGGACTGGGTGATGCTGATAGATCCGCAGGACCGAACGTGATTGGTTCGATCCTTACCTTCTTCTGAGGCGGGTCGGAAATGGAAGCCACAAATAGGCTCCGTTCGAAATTCTTCCGTTCGGCATCCGTGTCCCCAGTTTCTCCCCCGCCGAAGGTGACCTTGATCTCCATCTTGGGCTTTTTCCCTGGGTTTCCTGCACCTTCGACCTCCTCTCTGGATGGTATGTACGCATCATTCTGTGGCCGGGCGTCACGCTGATCGTCCCTCTTCCAACTGTTTGACCTTTTTTTTTGTTCCTGGATGGGGCCTACTGCATTCAGGTGTTTGTTCACATACTTACCCAGGTGACCTTGCTGGATCAACTCCTCTATGGCAATCTGGAGTGCTCGGCAGGCCTTGGTAGAATGCCCCCTCCTCTTGTGATATTGGCAATATGCGTCATCTCGTCCCATGTAAGCTTCCGTGTCCGTCGGAGGGGGGATCATATCCTTTTTATTCTAGAAGATGGTGGCGATGGAAAGGACAAGTGGTGTAAACCAGTTTGGTTTAGAAACATTTGTGGCCGCTGGGCTAGGACCCAGTCGATCGGCTAACTTTGCGGGTGTTTGCGGTGCCTTTCGATCTCTGATCGTGATTTGCTCTTCCAGAATAGCATGCCTCCGTGCCCGTTCCAGGACCTCCGCATAACTGGTCCCCGGACTTTTCTTCAAATCCCGGTATAACTCCCCAGTCGAAAGAGCATCGGTAAATAGCGTGACCGCCATGCAATCCGTTAACTTCTCCACCTTTAACGTCTCATCCCTTCATCTAGTCAAGAACAGGGTAACAGACTCCTTTGGCCCCTGACGGACACTGGTGAGATAGCTGAAATAGCGCTTCGGGGTAGCACTCGAAGCGAAGTGTGCCAGGAATAGGGTTGACAATGTGGCAAAACTCCCGATCGACCCAGGTTGTAATTGGCTGAACCATTCCTGGGCTGGTCCCCGCAGAGTACTAAAAAATAACCTGCAGATAGCCTCTTCTGAGGCTCCCAAAAGCATGAGCGCTCTCTGGTAGCTCATCAGATGGGCATTGTGGTCTCCTACCCCATTATAAACTAATCCAACCGAGGGTCTGCAATCTCTCTCGATCTCCACTTCCATTATTTCCCTCGTAAAGGGACAGGTGATCCCTGCACGGGGTGGCGGGGGCGTATGATTCTGTTGATGAGTGAGCCCGTCAATTTGCCTTTGCAAGGCGGCCAGCGCTGCTTCCTGCGCTGTTCGAGGAGGTGTCCTTAGGTTAATACTCTCCGGGGTTCTCTCCATTCGGTGAGCAACTCCCTCCTCGCATCCTCTTGTAGACCGCTCTCCATTTCTTTTGACGTACCGGTAATGCTGTCCTGTTGTTCCTCCCATCAGGGTTCGTTCCCTATATCGACCCCCCCTAGTCACGAATGGGGTACGGTCCGAGGATGAATACTGTTGGTACCCGGAAGTATGGGCCCTCCAGTTCCCTCCTTCCCCCAATTGTGAATAGGCTGAAGCCCGGGTTGTCTCTGTCTCCTCGGTATGTGAATCGAATGACTGCATGTTGTGGATCGATGAAGGAGATGAATATTCGGAGTCCCCAGTGTATGTAGATTAACCCTCATCATGTTGTCCAGCCATCCAGCGCATAGTTTCCGCCATCCTCCTCATCACCCGAGGATCTCTTCTTGCAGCCTCAGGGATTAGATGGGTGAAATCCCCGTCATATTCCCGACTCTGGCTGCCGCTGGTGCGGCTCTCTGTTTTCCAGGTTCTGGAGGACCTACTATCCCCTCGCTCCCCGGTAGTATCATGAGTATGCTCAGACGTGATTCTGACCATGTTGACGTGTGTAATTTGCTTAGATCAATGTTTTGCTTTTGAAACTTTTAGTTCATTTCCCACAGATGACGCCAATGTTGAGGTTTAGTCCCGAAATGACCCGAAGGCCCAACACTAACCTTGGATCTAGGGTGTGATTTTGCTGCAATAAAGTGTATAGAAGAAAATATAAAACCTGATTCGCCCACTCAAATAAACCAACTTGTATTAATGCAGTAATGACAATTACACAAAATTGGCCGAACGAGAGTTACGGTCCAAAGGTTAATACAAGAGCTAGAATGCTATTAGAGCTTGTGAGTGTAAAAATGTTAACCCTTTACAATGAGATTAATGCTTCTATTTATACTAATAAAAGGGTATGTGAGGTGATGACGTGGCTGAACCTAACTTGCTGCGATTCTCTGTTCTCAAGCCACTTGGATGCTCATGCTTCCACTTGATGACGCCATACCATAGCATTAAATGCTTCTTGCCACTTGCAGGATGCCCGTTCGGGTATAATAATGACGGCCCTTGCTGTTATCATTATTAGTCTAATCCAAGTATCCTGTTCGACCCGATCCCCGTTCGGGGTATAATCCCCCATGGGTTCCTGGATCCCGTTCGGTATATAATTCTTACTGGGCCTGCTCCTCGCCTGGACCTTGCTGGCTATTGGGTCGGGCATATTGGGTATTTGGCCTAATATCCCAACATACCCTAAAACCCTGCCTCTAGGTATGATGTAGAATAATGTTCCATTATATACAAAAATACAAAACATTGTTCTTTTTTTATTTTTTATCTTATTTTCTCTCAAATTATAGCACCTATCTGTTTTTTTAAGACATGTGTTTTGTTAAAAATCAAATCTTTATATGAGATGAGTTTCATGTGACTTCCTCTTCCTCTTTAATAGTGTAATGCTATCAAACTACAAAATCTTTGACAAATGCAAAACATGCCTAGAGATGGAAAATGAAGAACGATAAATGTAAATGTACTTCTTAATTTTTATTGTTTATGGGTAAAAAATAAATGAATAACCATTTACAGAGTTAATTTAAAACGGACAGGTGGTAGATTCTCTTTTAATCCCCTCAATCAAAACCGACGGTTGTTGTATATATCATGGAAGATCAGAAGAATCAGCATCCAAAAAACCGAGCGCGTCCACGACATCTTTCGTGCTCCATCCCGCACGCAACAGCCTCCTCGCTAACAACCTCACGTGACTTGCAACACCTTCCCTATTCGAAATCATCTCACCGTTCGTTTTCTGACGATCGCAGCCGTTCATCATCATCATCTCCACCACATCCTCCTCATTCCACCCTCCGTTCATCAACCGCCGCACCACCTCCCCCAAACACCCTTCCAAATCCTCTCCCCACCACCGCATTCCTAATTTTCCGGCACCAGATTTATCCCGTTCCTCCGCCAACTCCGTCCAGAACTCGATCCTCCGCGCCTCCGTCGCGGCCCACGCAGGCGCATTATTCAAGCTGACCGGATGCCGTAAAGCTGCTGAATCATCGCGTCTCCTGAAATCAATCCGCTGGAAAAATCCGGTGAGGTCGAAGCTCCACACCTTCACTTTAACGCCATGCACGTAAAACACGGGATTGCCGGCCAAACACGGCGCAGACGGAATGAAGAAATGGCGATAAATAGGGACGAGAACCGGAGCCTTCCTCAGAGTCTCCTTAGCCGAAATCACTGCCTCGTCGTCATCTTCAGGCCTATTTCCCCACGAATCGATCCAAAATCCGTGTCTCGAAACCTCATTGCAGAAACCTAATATTGGGAGATTGGTCTGGATTTCGAGCTGTTGCGGAGACGCCGATCGCCAGTTGGGAAATCCGGGGCCTACGGGAAGGCCTTCTCGGAGGATAGAACGGAGGTCAGGAGGGAATGTGAAATCCAAATTGGATTCGACGGCAGAGAATTCAACGTCGGAGAGACCTTCCTCTACCGGAATATCGACGGATTTGAGGTGGTCGATGATATTCTTTGCGTATGCAGCGTAGGAGAAACAAACTCTTCCTGGTCTTGGATTGCTTATAGCCATGGACGTGACTATTACTGATTCCGCTAAGCTCGATACTGCCACATATATTTCGATCGGAACATCTGAAAAGATGATGAAAAATGGAGATCGAAAAAGGAGGAGAAGTTGTGGACCGGAGAATATATATATATATACTATATACGAAATGGTCACGAGTCACGAGCGGATTGGGAATTTCAAAACACGGGAAAATAGTTCCGAAGCGATAAAATAAGAGTTTGGTTTGACTTCTAATCACGAGATATACCCCGTAATGATGATTTGATGATAATATCTGACCAAATATATAATACTCCCTCCATTCCTAAATAAACTTTCCTTTTTCGTCCGTTCCGATTAAAACTTCAACTTTCCCTTTTTAATAAATAATTTGTGGTTCACAACATTTCTTACACATTTCTCTCTCCTCTGCACAACTTTCCATCACACAATACTCACTATCTTAAATTTTGTGTCAAACCTATTTGAAAGTTTTAATAGGAACGGAGGTAGTAGTATTTGGAACAAGTTTAATATGCGCTGTCTATGGAGGCATGGAAACGCTGAGGAGAGGCGCTTTTTGTGTGTGATGTTGGGCATGTAAAACACATCAATGAAAACATGTTTTATACTTTTTGAGTGATTACTGATTAGTTATGCAATTTTTTTTACCCAAATTATTGCATTCTTTAAGAGCATTTTAATGGGAAAATGGATTACTTAAAAACGTATTACCATTTTAGATAAATAAACATTCAGATTAAATAACATGCTCCAACGAAAATGTATAACACACGATGTGTACTCCTCTTTCTACTTTGAGAAAGTCTCTCTGATAGTCTGCCTTCATCAAAGGATTCATGTTTGGTCGCAATAGGGCGCATGAGCTTCCTACACCTTCACAGGGGAGGTGGACGTCATCCGGTCACAAAAGGTCCCATCTTGGTCTCGTCACTAATGAATACCCTTCGTCGCAGGTGAGGCCGTCCTCATCTGGTAGCTGTGGCAGACCTGCCATCTCGGTTACTCAAGTCTATGAGAGAATAGTGGTAAGGGAATAATGGCTTACCAAACTAGGTAGCCTCATGATGTATTTGTAATAAAATGATAATATGAACAGTACAATGATATCCTAAAATATATTGGGCTATTACACATCCTCAATTTGTGCAGGAGACATGACGCGCAGATTAAATTTTAAAAATCAAAACGCTGACTAGACAAATTCTTTATAAAAATATGGAATATATTTTACAATAAGATCACCATGAGCTACTCTTTCCCTGACAAATAAGTGAAAATCAATTTTAATGTGTTTGCTTCGATCATGCTGTATGAGATTCACTCCTAAATATGAGGCGGAGACGTTGTCACAGTAGAGCTTGACTGGTTTAGGTACAAAGAAACCCATATCAACAACGAGAGGGTGAATAAAAAGAGTGTCCTGAACAGTATATGCGACGGCCTGATATTCGTCCTCCGTGGAGGATTTGGACACTGTAGGTTGCTTTTTAGAACGCCAGGAAATCAGATTATCTCCCAAAAACTAGCATAACCTGTAGTAGATCGGCAACTGTTGGGACATCCTGCCCAATCTGCATCCGAATTAGCAATAATAAGAGATGTGTCACCCCATTTCCTCAACCATAGGCCTTCAGAAATAGTACCCTGCAAATATCTCTAAATATGCTTCACAGCCAATAAGTGAGTCGTACGTGGAGCATGCATAAATTGAGACACTAAATGTACAACATAAGTAATGTCCGGTCTTGTAATAGTCAAATATTGTAAAGAACCCACCATGCTGCAGTATTCAGTACCGTCGGCCAGGAGTTCTCCATCAGTCAAGGAGAGAGTGGTACGAGATGGAAGAGGTGTACAGACATGTTTGGCGGTATGGAGGTGGAAACGACGAAACAATGGATGAGGAATTTCCTGTGATAAGTATATCATCAACATATAGAAGAATATATACGGAGCACGAATCACGACGATACACAAACATAGAAGAGTCAGACTTACTCTGAACAAAATCATGCCTGAGTAAGAAACCACTAAACCTGTGAAACCAAGCTCCGGGAGCTTGTTTAAGCCCATACAAAGCTTTCCAGAGCCGACAAATATGGTGAGGAAAAGAGGGATGAACAAAACATTGTGGCTGACGCATATAGACCTCTTCAGTTAGATAGCCATGTAAAAATGCATTTTTAACATCTAACTGACGAACAGTCCAACCAAAGGAAGTAGCGAGAGAGAGTAAAAGGCGAACAGTAGTGGGTTTTACCACCAGACTAAATGTCTCTAAAAAATCCACCCCAGCCTGCTGTTTAAACCCTTGAGCCACCAACTGAGCCTTATGACGCTCAATAGACCCATCAAAATTGTATTTAGTTTTATAAATCCACCTGCAACCTACCACATTTTTGCTAGGGTCATAAGGTACTAAGTCCAAGGTCTTATTAGCAATTAATGCATTAAACTCTTCAATTGTTGCCCGCCACTTTAAATTTTTATTTGCTTGTGAAAAACAAGTAGGATCCGGGGATACTCACTAGCGGTAAGGGAGAAATTATTTTTGGGTTTAAAAAAGCCATCCTTATCCCGAGTACGCATTGGATGAACATTTTGACCCGAGGGAGGAGAAGGAGAAGCAGAGCCGACCATGGGGGGAGGTAGCCTAGACATTTGTCTAGGGCCTCCAAATTTTGTAGGGCCTCCATTTTAAAAAATAATAATATTATATATACTTAAATCCTTAATTTAATTAATTGAAATACTTAAAAAATTAGTTTAGAACTAAAGCTAAGTTGATGCAAAATATTAAAAAATCAAAATTAAGCATGTTCGGTGATATATTTGAAAATAATGACAAATATATGATCTAAATGAGAGTGAACAAAATGTGTCTTTTTATACTTCAGCGACTATAACTTTAGTGATCGTGATTGTGTCAACTATAATGCATATGCATAGATAATAATTCAACATCCTAATTTGAGTATATTTTGAGAAATAGTATTGATGTCTACGAATATAATATAATGAGTTATTGATGACAAATGTGATGTTATAAATGTATTATTTTTAAAAATTATTATTAAATTGTCATTTTTAATTGTTTTCTAAAATAGAAAATGAAAACATTTAGTTGAGATGTCTAAAAAAGGAAAGTGACAAGCTTTGAATGGAATGAAGGGTAATATTTTTCAATAAGTTATATTTCAGTAATATTTAAGGAAAACAAACTTATATTAATTGGATTGACTATTATCTCGATTAAAAAGTATTACGTAATATTAGGGAGTCTTGATTGTAGTAGTTTTCTTACCAAATTTGCTATTAGAATCCCCATGTGTTTTTCACTCTTTTATCGCTTACATTCAAAGAATGATATTCTTTGCATTAGTAACATATATATTTTGGACTGTACTTTACTTCTATTTGGGGCGTAATTAGAATGTCCTTTTAAATTTTTAGGCTCCGATCCTCTCCAAATTTGTAAAATAATTATATGTATTTATATGTTAAAAGATTGTGTAAACACAAAAAAACTTACCAATTCAAGCCACGTTAATATTTCTTTTTGGCTATGTCATTCCTGTTTATTTCATATTATAGTTTTTGTATTTTTTTACTAAACAATATATTGAAGTTATACTCTCTCTACTCCACTAAAATTGTTTCATCTTTAATTTTTAGCCTATGCATTAAGAATGTCACATATCAAATTTGACAAAATTTGTGTGGTTCTAAATCATGCTTATTTTATCACTTCAATATCAACCACAAACTAAATTGTTTTAATAATTGTACAACTTTATCATAACCTAGCGTTATTGAGACGAGAGTACGTTGTATCTCATAAGTAAATACGGAGTATTATTTTGTTGTCTAGGGCCTCAAAATTGCTGTAGACGACCCTGAGGAGAGGAGGGACCCGAAAAACTACAAGAGTGAGAGGAGCTGGACAAGAGGCTGGTCGTGGGAGGTGAGGACAAAGTACTAGGTGTAGAAATGAATGAGGACGGACTGGGTGGTGTGAAATCACGAGCAGGTGGGGGGGGGACTGTACATGGGAGTGGTCTGTCTCGGTAATGAAGGAAATGGGTCATGGAGTTGAGCTGGTAGAAGGATCCTGGAGTGCCGAGGATTGTGCGGACAAGGGAAGAGCCGGTGTGGGACATGTAGGTAGAGCTAAGGTAGCAATTGGTCGGCTAACATTGGTGGCCCTATAGGGAGACAAGGAACTGGGCAATGGTAGTGTATGCATTTGAGGAGACATATCAGCGTAGGGAAATTTGTGAAATTGGGAGATTTGCAATTTTAGTCCTGTAACTTTCGGCTGTTATTATTTTTGATCCTATAACTTTAAGCACTAGCAAATTTGGTCTTGTAACTAATAAATCTTTGTAATTTAAGGATTTTCCCATCGGAAAGTACACTTTCCGGCGGAAATGTTAGGTGTCGGTGACATTTTTTTCGGTATGCTATAATGCCGGAAAGTGTACTTTTCAGGGGAAAAGTCCTTAAATCGCAAATTAATTAGTTAGAGGACCAAATTTGCAAGTGACTAAAGTTACGGGACTAATAATGATAACGACCGAAAGTTACAGGATGAATATTGCAAATTTTCCCATGAAAAATAACATCACGATTAATATAGACTCTACGGGTAATGGGATCAAAACAACGGTATCCTTTGTAACCAGCAGATGGATCGAGGTGATAGCTTGTTTGCTGAGGTGCAGTGGCAATTTGATTGGGAAAACACTCACACCCAAAAACCCGTAAAAAAGTATAGTCCAGTACTTTATTTAAAAGTTTATGATACGGGATCAAACCATGCAAAACCGGAGTAGGTAGCTGATTAATGATATACGTAGCTACATAGAACATCAACCCAAAATTGAGGCGGTAGATGCGCCTCAATAAGCATAGTACGAATTAATTCTAAAATATGACGATGTTTACGTTCTGCGACACCATTTTGCGAGGGGCTATCCGGGCAAGATTTTTGAAAAAGAATACCACATTTAAGAAAATGAGTATGAAAAATATTATCGTCAAACTCACCCCCACCACCACTTTGAAAACATTTGATTTTACAATCCAAAAGATTTTCAACTAAATTCCGAAAATGACAAAAATGAGTAAAAACCTCAGATTTTCTACGCATGGGATAAACCCAAGTGAAACGAGAAAAGTTATCAATAAAACAAATATAGTATTTAAACGGTAAGTGAGAGAGAACAGAGGATTGCCAAACATCTGAGTGAATTAATTGTAAAGGAGCAGTAGCACAATGTAAAACATCTTGAAACGGCAATCTATGAGATTTGCCAATTCTACAAGAAGTGCATGAAAAATTGAAAGTAGTATTATTATTAATTAAATGTGTGCGCCGCAAGGTAGACAAAATGATAACACCACAATGACCCAACCGTTTGTGCCAGACTTGACCAGGGGCAGATGAGGTGAGTAAGGCAGGAGACACGTTGGGTGGGGTGAAAGGATAGATCCTATCTTTATGAGAAGCTCGGAGTAGAGTTGCCCCCCGGGTGATTGCCCTTAAAATAAAAAACATTTTTATCAAAAAATAAAAGTGCA